AAGGCGAGGAAGGAAAATGAAAGAAAAGCAGAAAGAAGTAAAGGTAGGCGAGGAAGGAAAAAATGAAGGAAAGTAGAAATAAGAAAAGGGAAGATAGGAAGGAAAAATGAAAGAAAATAGACAAAATGAAATAAATAAACAAAAATATCCATTAATAAATAATAGAAGGTAAGGCGTTGGAAGAAAAAGAAATATGAATAAAATAAAAATAATTGAAGGAATAAAAGTAGAAGAGTAAGGTGATGAAATCTAAATGAAAGAAAACGAAGAAAAAAATCTATTAAAGAAAGATATCGAACAAAAAATGAAGGAAAATGGGTGAAAGTCGACAAAGAAAGAAAAAGAAATAAATGCTGGATAAAAAATGAATGAGTTGAGCAACAAACGGATGAAAGAAGGAAAATACTATGAAAGGAAAAGAAAAGTAAGTAAATGTTGAATGAAAGAAAGATATAAAAAAATAAACGCTGAAAGAAAAGATGAAAGGAGCAGACGATGAAAAAAGAAAGAAAGAAATGCAGAAAGAAAATTTAATGAGAGAAGAAAATAGAAAAAAATAAATGAACAAAAAAATGAAAAAGGATTATGATGACGACGAAAGAAAACTAAAAGCAAATTAAAACCAAAAGAAAAATGAATCGACGAAAGTTTATATATATATATATATATATATATATATATATATATGCTAACCGATGTACAAAGTCCTCAAGTCCGTCGTTAACTGGAACAAAAGATAGCTTGTTAATTTTAACACCTCCGAAACTAAACTTCTCTCTATTAATTATCTGAGAGACCGCTCTCTGCCTTTCATCAGTATGGCTGATGCTAACCTCCAGGAAAGTGACTCATTATGCCTTCCTGGGCTAACGTTCTCAGCTGACAGAAAGTGGGAAGACTATATTGAATTCCTTGCTAGGTCAGCCGCATAGAAAGTCTGTTCACTGTGCCGGGTGAGACAATTTTTTCACTAAAATCTGTCTACCATTCGCCCATGCTTAGAATATTGCTGCTCCGGCTATTTAGCTTGAGCACCTTAATGAAATCTAAAGAAGAATCAGCAATATTATTGGTCCTGATCTGGTGGCTCGGCTTCAGTCACTTTACCACCACTGTAAGGTTGCTTCTCTGTGCCTTTTCTAGAAATATTTTCATGGTAATTGTTCAGATGAGCTCTTGGCTATGGTACCCAGACTTTTTGAATTTAATCGCAGTACTAGACTGGCGTCAAGATCCTTACACTTGGGTTGGCTCGATGTAGCCGTAAGTTCTATGTTAACAGTTTCTTTTCTTACACTTCTCTCTTGTGGAACTCCATTCCAAGCAACTTTAATCTGCAAAAATTGAAAGGCACTGTCAATCACGATTTATTGTCCTCCTGATTACTCTTTTCTTTTCCCGCCCATCATCAATGTTTCTCTTCCTCATTATTCCACATCCTATAAACCCTTGTGTCTTAGAGGCTTTACTGCCTTGTATGGGTTGATGCTGATTAATAATAATAATAATAATTATATATATATGTATATATATATTGCAACTTCGGTTCTCGAACGTCTCACATGTCGAACAAATGGCTTTTCGGACAGAAAATTCGAGGCCTCGGTTATCGAACAAAATTTCGGTTCTCGAACAATATTGCAGACCCGAGTTAACCCGAACGGAATCATTTCTGAATCGACCGCCGTGTTGTATACACTTGCGTATTGTGTATTGTGCTTTTCTTTTCCAATTTTATTATACTGTGAATTTTTTTTCTCTACATTGGTTCCTATTGGAAAAATAGTTTTGGTTTACGAACATTTCGGGTTATGAACGGCCTGCAGGAACGAATTAAATTCGTGAACCGAGGTTCCACTGTATATATATATGGTAAAAATATACTTTTATGGTATACTATATTTATGGGTTAAAGTGCTCAATATCAAGGATAGAGCGTGTATGTAAATATAAAATGAATATTGAGGTCAATAAACAGCGGTGACAGTCTAGTTCATGCTTAAACGCAAACTTCAGGTTATATATATAGATATATATATATATATATATATATATGCAGAGACCACTAACATCCCATGATGTTCTTTTACTTTTATGAGTCCTGTTCCTTCAAGACGTGGGTGATCATAGCTCAATACAGTTTTCAGTCTTTTGTACCTTATAGTAATTTTGTCTTTTGCTATCTCTCCTAATCCCTGTTCTGCCAAACATTTAAGCTCATTTACTTGGCTACGCGCTGCTTCCCTTGGTTTTAATTTTGCCCCCGGTATGTCATGTGAGCCGTTTTTCCTCATTATATACCCAAGAAATCTCACCTGTGTCTTTCTGGTGCTATGCATTAGTGTGCATTCTCCTTTTATTTTGTCCTTTTTGGTTCAATGGCAATGAATTCTAGACAATCCTCCCTCGAAACAATAGAAATGAGGTTTCACAGAAGACTGATGAGAATGGTTAGTAAGGGAACAAACAAAACGTTAAGTGAAGAAGGATTTAAATACATGAAAACATGGACTGAAAATTTGAGTTCTTCACTGCTATGACTGCAAAGCGCTACACCTTTGCGACCCACTTTTTGCCCCTGTTCCATGAATAGGCCTTCTACTCACAGCGGTTGGACGAGTCCATGTTTCAATAATAAGTGGAGAGAAGGTTAGTCAGTCCTGCTATACAACAATAAGTTTACGCAATTATTGTACCCTGAAAATTAACTTCCACAGGAGTAAATAATGCTAATGAAAGAAATTCCTTACCGATCAAGATTCGAAAATAAGTATTTGTCATTTCATTTGTTTCCCATTGGTGTAAGAAGTCCCACCAGTTCCTAACCTCTTCACGGCTGGGACCCACCATGCCACGCCCATTGTAGCGAACCACACTCATTCCCTTCGTATTCCATTCCATTCGAACAGCTTCTTCCCACGACCAGTTGCATTGTGGAACGGACTTCCAAAGGCCTTGGCTTGTTCAGGTCTGTGATCGACCGTTACCTTCACCCACATGTCCCTAAAAACCGTTCCTTTCATTTTGCATCCCTCTACTTTGAGTGGTTCTTGGGACTTGTACTGGTGAACATCACTGTAAAAAATCTGTAGGCTGTGGATTATACTTTATTTTAATCTGCAGAACTTCCATTTTCAATAAATTCCAGACAGTTATGCTTTATTTGTGTTATTAATTCAAGTGGCAAGTACACATTAAAAATGGTTACCGGAACAATAAAAAATTATTACGAATATCTGTTATCACTAAGAATTATTATATTATTAATAACATTTAATTAATATTAATATTATTAATAACATTTAATTGATACGCTGCATTAGTGAAAGATTACTTACACCTTGGTATGAATAACTATTCTATTTATATTTAAAGGTAAAAATTTCTATTTTTTTATGAAAGTGGTAGTAATTTTCGAAATTGTGGGAAAAGCGTCTCGAATCGTAACATATACATATCATAATTAAGTACTTCACCGAGTCTAGAGACAATCTCAACAGATTGCAGAAAGCACTGGACGGCCGTTTCGTCCTATATGTGGGACTCATCAGCAGTTACGATATGAGACAAAGGTCATACCAACTGTACCAACGAACCTCGGTGACGAAGAGCTAGCGAATTAGATTCGATATAACGTCGCTTGATCATATATTCCGTGGTGGAACTCATCCGAGTTTCTTTCGCCCATAAGACTGTGGTACAGTTGGTATGACGTTCGCCTGATAGCGTAACTGTCCGGGTTTCAATTCTCGGTAGTGGATGCGCACTGCTGATGAGTCCCAAATATAGGACGAAGCGGCCGTCAAGTGCTTTCTGCAATATGTTGAGATTTCTCCTAGACGATGAATTATTTAATTGTGATTATCTTAAATCCTCCTAATAATTTCTATCACACGCATATATATATATATATATATATATATAAAGGTTATAGTTGTTCCAACGAGAGAAAAATGTATATTTAAAAAAAGAGAGAAACTGCAAACGCTTTTGGTTATAATGCGGATTTGTTTTAGTATATATATTTTATTTATTTATTCTAGAAAAAAATATAATATATATATACTAAAACCAATCCATATTATAACCCAAAATGTTTGCGCTTTCTCTTTTTATATATATATATATATATATATATATATATATATGACAAACCATATATATATATATATATATATATATATATATATATATATATATATATATATATATACGACATTCAGAGGCGAAAAAGATAAAAAAAGAAGGAAAAGGAATTTTTTAGAGTGTAGGGAGACAAGAAAAAATGAAAGAGAGAAAGAACCACATTTCACACATACGCATATACACACATGAACACACGCTCTTATGCATATATATATATATATATATATATATATATGTGTGTGTGTGTGTGTGTGTGTGTGTGTGTGTGTGTGTGTGTGTGTGTGTGGCATTTACTGTATATAACGCCTTAACATACTGCAATCTCTCATTATTTAAAAGAAACATCCGGCATTAAATATCTTTTATTACAGGAGATGGCATTTGAAAATGTATACAAGATGATTATAATAATGGATAAAATGATTAGGTACTCGTTTCCGGCATTGTCAAGCTTTGTGAAACCATTCTACCCTTGACGTCATGTATACGATACACATATATTTAAATTTGAAAAGTTCCCCAAGAATTCCCGGATGCGTTAATAACTCTTGTCTACAATTTGGATATGATTTAGTTTCAGATAATAATCAAAACGGTCAAAAGTTCTCGAACAAAACAAAGCAAAATATTAAATTTTACAATTTTGATCTCGATATGCAACATTTTTTTTCGAAATAAAAAAAATAAAAGCAATAAAATTTAAACAGATTGATCTTGTCTGTTAAATTTAATATAACTTGTCTAAAGGAATTGTAATTTATTTAAAGTAATTATATTATCTATAAACACCAGAAAACTCTTTCAAAAAAAGAATTGGCGGTATTAAAGGAGAAAGGTTTGAGCCGACAGATAGTTTGGAAAATTATAAGTTCCGCAGAATTTTTCTTATAGTCTTAGAGAAAGGTATTTAAAAGGAAAAATTAGAATAAATTACAATAATCAAAGTCAACTATTGAATCAGCGGAATGTATTAGTGTTAAAATGTCGACATAAAAACAAATTCACATTTCCATAATATAGGATAAACTTAATTAGCTACTATATTTCCATAATATTAATTCTCCTCCAATTCATTCCTTATTCTAATTTCTATAATAAAAATTCGTGTGACGCGTTTCGTTCTTTAGGACATCATCACGCTCAATTTGTTACGTTGGTGCAAGTGCACATGCGTACGAACGCGGGATGCTGGGAATATATATATATATATATATATATATATATATATATATATATATATATATATATGAATTAGATGAATTTTCTCCAAGGAAAAACCTCTTGGAATCTAAATAAAAGATTATATGAAGTTAAATGGGATATTTTACAAAACAATACCTCAAATGCATTAGTTGTTTATCGTAACGAGATGGCCACAGTTTTGACATAAAAAATGCAACTCCGGATAAAAAGAAAACAGTTCACTTGGTGAGTGCCTTGATCGCAAAGCCACCCGAAGTAATTTTGCACCCTGTCTCTTACAACACTTCACAATTCCTGGCAGATCTTCTAATATCACAGGGTGGGATATCTAATAAAAAGTGATGAAAATAAAAATCCCTCGATCGCTATGTGTAGTCGTCATGTGTAGTCGCAACAACGTAACAATTTTAGTCCTGAAGGATGAAAAGCTTTGCGCACGCTTTCTCATACAATTTTTCCCCATTTATTATATATATATATATATATATATATATATATATATATATATATATATATATATATATATATATATATATATATATATATATATATATATATATATATATATATATGTATATATGTATGTATGTATGAGTGTTTACCTTCTAAAATAGCTATAAAAATAACAGGAAAAACCTCAGAAAAGAAAAAAAATTCCAAAATAAGAAAGAAATAAAAGACCAAAAGTTAAACGTTCGCTAAAGCAGTAAATGAAAATGTTCCACGCCTCGGTTATCCGGACAGGGCAAAAAAACATTTCACAGTGACAGCCCTCAACCCTCAATTGGGACACAGCTCGAATCGCTACTTAAGTTTCACGCTCTGGCTTTCTTCAGGAGACCAGAATGCAAATCTATCTATCTATCTATCTATCTATCTATCTATCTATCTATCTATCAGTCTGTTCATTATATATCTGTCTATATATAGGATAATGATGTTTTTATATATCAAGAACAATTTTAGGGAAAAGATGTATGACAAAATGGAAAAGTTTTCATGTGACGAGTTTCGTCCTTTAGGATTCCATCATTTATGTTTCCATTAATACGACTACATATGCACACAAATGAGACATACTTGGAATCTTTAGTTGAAAGATGATATATATATATATATATATATATATATATATATATATATATATATACGCGTGTGTATTGGGCATAAAATCTAGCCGATTTCTTTTCGATTCTAAAACGATTTTTCTCCAGTATTATTCTTCATATATAAAAATTTATATCCGTTATCTCATATATATATATATATATATATATATATATATATATATATATAAAAGTGAACATTGAAGTCAACACTTAGAGGCGACAGTCTGTTTCATGCTAAACGCAATTGTCAGGCCTGATGACTGCGTCTAGCATGAAACAGACTGTCGCCTCTAAGTGTTGACTTCACTATTTACTTTTATATTTGCACATGCTCTATCTGACATTGAGCACTTTATCCCATAAATATAGCACACCTTAAGACTATATTTCTTCATATATATATATATATATATATACACACAACCAACCACACCCACCCATATACATATATATATATATATATATAAAATTAGAATTCCTTTAGATAAGTTATATTAAATGTAACAAACAAGCTCTGTCTGTTTAATTTTTTATTGCTTTTATTTTTTTCAATTTCGAATATAATTTTGCACATTGAGATCAAAATTCTGAAACCGTTAATATTTTGTTTTATTTTTGTTTGAGAACTTTTAACCATTTTGATTATCATCTGAAACGAACTTCTCTCATTATTCTATATTCAGAAAGTGCTTTAATTTAGCACGACCTTACGCCTTGCCAATGCCTAATAAATAATGGACTATTCCGAGTTTTGATCGCATCGAGAGAAGGAAAAGGCATTATAACACATTAATCCCAAACTAAAATAATTTGAGGACTAATTTGCATAAAAAATAACTTATTCACCTTTGTTTATTAGAGGCTGAATTGTGTCACGTCGCGTCTTCCATAGTTTGTCTGACCTTTCAGCTAACCTGATGAATAATTATGAGCGTTCTTAAGCGAAATTTAAAAAAAAAACAAACAAACAAACAATAATGCTCATGAATATTCATCAGGTTCGCAGAAAACTTTGGCAAGTTCATGGACGTAAGGTGATACA